CGGGAGGAAAGGAGGTGGCAGGAAGGGGCTGGGGCCGGATATGTGGAGGCCTTGCCCTGGGGAGGCTCAAGGTGGAGAGGGGCTGGTTCTGGATAAGAGTGAGCGCCCTGGGACGGGGCTGGAGCTGGATGCGGGGCAGGGGAAGCCCTTGGCCACTCTGGCTCTCCAGACGAGGAGCCTCTGGGAGCACACCGCGGCCACACCAGCACGGGGCGGGCGCAGGGAGATCAGAGGGTGTCCGGGGCATGGGACCAAATCGAGGCGCCATGAGTAGGTGGCCCCAAGGCTGGGTTACCCCAGACAGCCTCCTGCGTCTCTGTCTTTGTCTTTGGGGGAGACCTCTGAATCTTTCTAGCTATCTCTGGAGTCTTTGGGATATCTGAATTTTGGTGGGTATCTGGGAGTTTCCGAGGGGCTTCCCAGGCGGCTCAGTGGTAAAGAATCCACCTGCCAACGCAGGAACTGCAGGAGACTCTGGTTCGATCCCTGGGTAGGGAAGATGCCCTGGAGGAGGAAATAACAACCCACTCCAGTATTCTTGCCTGGGAAGTCCCATGGACAGAGGAGCCCGGTGGGCTACAGTCCGTGGGATTGCAGTCAGGCAGACTAAGCGATGGAGCATGCACACATGGTGGTCTCAGAAAGTCTCTAGAAGTCTTGGAGGCTCTCCGAGGTCTCTGTATTGACAGGCTAGCCTGCCTGGGACTCAGATGAGCAAGAAGGGGAGTATGAAGATGTGTCTTCTGGAAGTTTCTGGTTCCTCTCGGCCAGGGTGGGGGCCGCAGATCCCAGAACCGCCCCTCTTCCCACAGTCTACCCATGGCCTGTGGGGGGCTGCAGCAGGAAGGTCCAGTCCCCAGCTCCCCCCCAGACCCATCTCTAGCACCCACTCTCTCAGGCCCCAAGCCTGCTTGTCCTTCCCCAACCCCCACTCCAAGCCTGAGTGCCTTGAACCCTGTTTCCTCATTTCCTTCATTTCCTCATTTCCTCCTATTCTAAGGGGCCTCAGCATTGGAATCCACCCAGAGCCGCAGCTGACTGGCGCCCCTCTGTTCCTCTCCTCCTGAAAGCCTGGGTGCTTGTCTGTGCCTGTTGGCTGATCCCAACATCTGGACTGAACGTGCTGCCTGTGATTTGTATTCACATGATATGATAAGATTCTAATGGAAAAAAATGTAAAAACACACACAGGGAGCTTGTTCCTCCCATCCATCTGCCACTAAGAGGTAACCCCAGGGTATTTGTTTTTCCTGTTTCATCAAAAGTCTTTTAGGAAGCTGCTTTAAAATTTTTTATTTATTTGTTCCAATTAACACACTCACTGAGAGGCATTTGCTCTCACCCAGATCCACTCTCACCCCAGGGCCTTTGCATGGGCTATGCTATCCCCCAGATGCCCTCCCCCATCCCTTTACTTAAACAAGCCCCTTTATTCTTTGCAATAAAGTCTCCTTTGATCATCGGATTAAAATGTTGTCACCTTCCCTGCTTGCTTCCCAACTTTATTTTCTCTGCCACCTGTTACATATTTTCTTCATAGATTTTGCATGTTGCCAGTCTCCCTGATGCTACAAGAGCTCCACAGGGACTGGGAATTGTCTGTTTTGTTCATGGCTGTATCTGCAGCTCTCAGACCAGTGCCTGGCACACAGTAGGAGCTCAATAAAGGCTTATGAAGTAAATGAACGAGTCTCTCCTTATTGTTTCAGAGATCTATAACTTCATTTTCATGACTCTGTGGCATCTCCCAGGGTAAATAACTGTTACTGATCTAAACAACTCCTTAGGTTGCTTCTGATTTTTTTTTTTTTAATAAAGAGTACTGCAGTGAATCACCCTGTAGCTATGCTATGCTTTTTGCCTTTAAAAAAAATTTGTATTGAAGTGTAGTTGATTTACAATGTCAAATAAGTTTCAGGTGCCTTTTTGTTTTTTATTGTGCAAAGTACACTTAACATAAAATTTATAATTGTAGCCACTTTAAGGTGAGCAATACAGTGATTTTTATTTTATTCACAGTGTTGTGCAACCATTCCCCCTGTCTAGTTCCAAAACATTTTTATTACCCCCAAAGGAAACCCCACACACACTAGCAGTCACTCTCCATCTCCCTCCCCAGCCCCTGACAACCACAAGTCTGCTATTTGTCTCTGTGGATCTGACTGTTCCAGACATATCCTATCAATGAAATCACACACTGTGTGGTCTTTTGTGTGTGGCTTCATTCATCCAGCACAATGTTTTTGAGGTTCATCCACGATGTAGTGTATGTGAGAGCATCACTCCTTTTTAAGAAAATTGATTGATTGATTTTAATTGGAGGNAGCATCTTTTCATGTATTTGTTAGCCATCTGTATGTCTTCTTTGGAGAAATGTCTGTTTAGTTCTTTGGCCCATTTTTTGATCGGGTCATTTCGTTTTCTGGAATTGAGCTGCATGAGCTGCTTCTATAGTTTTGAGATTCTTTGTCAGTTGCTTTGTTTGCTAATATTTTCTCCCATTCTGAAGACTGTCTTTTCACCTTGCTTATAGTTTCCTTCATTGTGCAAAAGTTTAAGTTTAATTAGGTCCCATTTGCTTACTTTTGCTTTTATTTCCATTACTCTGGGAGGTGGGTCATAGAAGCTCCTGCTGTGATTTAGAGCATCACTCCTTTTTAAAAAATTTATTCATTTGGCTTTGCTGGCTCTTAGTTGCGGTAAGTGGCATCTTCAGCCGAGGCAGTCAGGGTCTTCTCTTCGAGGTACGTGAACTCTTGGTTGTGGCATGGGGGATCTAGTTCCTCAACCAGGATTTGAACCAAAGCCCTCTTCATTGGGAGCACTGCGTCTTAGCCGCTGGACCACCAGGGAAGTCCCAGAGCTTCATTCCTTTTTAAAGATGTATTTGCTTATTTCTGGCTGTGTGGGTCTCTGTTGCTGCGTGCGGGCTTCCTCTGGTTGTGGTGAGCGGGGCTACTCTTCACTGCGTGCACAGGCTTCTCACTGCTGTGGCTGCCCGAGTTTCGGAGCGTGGCCTCTAGGACGCTCGGGCTTCCGTAGTCGCGGCCCCCCAGGCTCTAGTGCGCAGGCTCAATAGCTGTGGTGCGTGGGGTTAGCTGCTTCGCGGCAGGTGGGATATTCCTGGACCAGGGACTGAACCCGTGTTTCCTGAATTGGCAGGTGGATTCTTTACCTCTGAACCACCAGGGAAGCCCCAGCTCCATCCCTTTTTCTGGCCAAATAACATTCACTGTATGGATGGACCACATTTAGTTTATCCACCCATCAGTTCCTGGTCCTGTCGTTTTGTAACAGGCAACTATTCCGGAGTCCCAGGAGTGGGATGCTGGCTCTGGGGCCCGGGCATTCATAATTCCCATGACAGGATGCCTCCCACTGCTCTGTGCTACTGATGCTCCCCCAGCAACGTGTGGGCTTGCTCGTTTCCCCACATCCTGGCCAGCACAGGGTGTCATCGCACTTTTGAATTTTTGCACATCTGATAAATATGCAAAACTCCTCTGAGTTTGAAGATAGAAAGGGGAAGAGTCTGAGGAGAAAGGAAAGCATAGGGGAGTAGACTCCAGCCTCCCAGAGTCCAGGAGAAGACTCTTGACATTTATTCCACTTTACAGATGTGGAAACTAAGATAAAGAACAGTGAAGGTCAAGCCATGAGCCAGGGGCTGGAAAGGATTTGAACCTGGCCTGCCTAAAGCCAGGACCCCAGTGAGGCAGAGACCCTCTGCCAGCCCAGCTGTGCCTATTCCCTCCTCAAGCCCTCTTTTGTTTTGTTTTCATTCCATACCACAGAAGACGAGATGGTTGGATGGCATCATCAAGTCAATGGACAGGAGTTTGAGCAAACTCCGGGAGATGGTGAAGGACAGGTGTGTCCACGGGGTCACAAAGAGTCAAACGTGATTTAGCGACTGAACAGCAATGTGGCATGACTAGAGATTGAACCTGTGCCCCTGCATTGTCCCCAAGTTTTAACCACTGGACCGCCAGGGCAGTCCCCTCAGCCTCTCTTGTGTCACTATTCCTGGGGTCTGACTCAGGCCACCCTCTCCTGAGACTCCGGGCTCCTGGAAGGGTTCCCCACCTCCAGAGCCCAGGCTCATTGCAGAAGAATCTTTTCACACAGTGCCCCTCCGCTGCTCACACACCTGCCTTGGCCCTGGGAATAAAGCCCCACTCCTCAGCCTGGCATTGGAGGCCTTCGCTGCCTGGCCCCCACCCGCCGCCAGTTCCTACACTTACCCTCGGCCCTCCAGCCACTGCACTCCTAACGAGGCTGTCCCCCTTAACCACTCTCTCCCAGGCCGCATGGCCTCTCTGGCGACTGGACCTGTGCTCCTTCTGTGCCTTCTCGCTGCCGTCTGTGGCCGTTCATTTCTGCCTGCTCCTGCTACTCGTCCTCCAAGCCCCAGACAAAAGTCCTCTTCCCCAGCGAGCCCTCCTCTCAATGCCCCCCGCCCCAGCATGTTCATACACAAGGAGAGTTCTGAGTCTGTGGGAGAGGCTAAGAGCTTGCAAAATCAAAGGCAGGTTTTAGGAATCCTTGGCAAACTCCTATTCATGTGTTGAAACCCCACCTGTAATGCCTCCTTCTCCAGGAAATCTTCCAGTACCCTGTCCCTCACCCCGACCTTGACCTGACTCCGTCAGACTGGGGGTGTCTGTGTCCAGCTTTATCTTTTTCCAAGACTGGATGCTCCTAGAGAAACCGACCGGGGGTGGAGCCTCTTCGGGGGCTCAGCGTGGATAATGTTTGTTGAATGAATAAATGAATGCATGGGTTGGGAGTCAACTGAGCTGAGACTGGGAAGTGAGAGTGAGTTGATGAGGTAGCAGTTAGTTGGGGTGTCATTGGGGGACATATAGTCATTGAGTCTCAGCAAGAAGGAAGCAGGCCGCCCGCCCCTGCCCCTCCCGTGAGAATCCCGATTCTTGAGGCCTTCCACGGGGCGGGGGCGGGTCTCTGGGTCGTCTTTATTCTTCCCCTCTGCACTTCACTCGGCACCAGTTCCTCTTCCCCGTGAGCAGAGCTGGGTGCAGAGCGAGAGGAGCGCCAGGCATCACAGTGGATCGGAATCCGGGGAGGCTCGGACCCTCTGACCCCCACGTCCGGGTGAGCCACCACGCCGCCGGCAACTTCTAGCACGACAGAGGCCAAGGGCGGGCAGTAGGACCAGAAAGGTGGGAAGGAGGCATTGGAACTTGGGTCTGTGCAAACCAGAGCCGGGGCGGGGTGGGGGTGGGGGTTACTCGTCAGCACCCCAACCCAAGACTCTCAGACCCAGACTCCCAGCCCCCTGCAGTTCGAGAAGAAAGGCAGAGGGGCGGGGTCGTTTCCGGGGCAACAGCTCATTTGCATATAGGCCTGTCTTGGCCAGCTAGCTCTCCCAAAATATTTGGGGAAATTGGGCAACCTAGCCCGAAGGGGCACATCTGAGAGAAAGGGAAGGGGCTGACTGGGCCAAGTCTCCTCTTTGCCTTTCAAGCCCCTGAGGCATCAGGGTTAGGTGCCCATTCCCCAGAAGGGGAGACTGAGGCCAGAGCCAATCAAAGAGGAGCAGCCAGCGAAAGGCTGCCGTTTTAACACTTCAGAAGTGGCCTGAGCTATAAAAACACATATATATATATACAAGTGGCAAGGGGGAGGGTGACCACAAGCTGAGGCTGGGGCTTGGATTCCGGTGTCTCTGCCTAGGCTGCCTGAATGGGGGACGCCCTGCTGTGGGCGCTGTTGTTGCCGTTGCTGCTGCCCCAGGCAGGCAGCCAGACATGCAGCGTGTTCCCGGGGAACGTGAGCTGGGCCGAGGAATACCATGACAGATGCCTCAACTTCAGCGGTCGCATCCTGAGCCAGCTACCTCAGAACCAGTCTCTGCAGGCCAGATTCGTGCAGTTCCTCGATCTGTCTGCAACCGGCCTTCAGCGGCTCCCGTGGTCCTTCTTCAGTGACCTGCCGCAGCTGCAGTTACTGATTGTGACCAACAACTCCTTGGACTTCGTGGACAGGGCGCTGGCCAAACGCTGTGACCTCACCCTGCTGGCTGACTGCAGCTGTGCCCTGGTAGACTGGCACAAGGACTGGCAGGGCAACTGCTCTGGCCCAGAGCCTCCGGAGTGCCTGGATGTGCCCACCGGTGCCTGGCACAACCTCTCTGTCTTCTTGGAAGTGAGCTGTCCCTCTGGCCTGACCAAGGCAACCATCGGAGCACTGGCGGCCAGTGGAGGCCTGCTCCTTGTGCTTGCCGTTGCTGGCCCGGTGCTGGCCTGGAGACTCTGTAGACGTCGGATGGGCCAGAACCTGAGCAAAACGTGGGCTGCTCAGGACGGCTCCAGGTCTGGCTCGGGCCGGCAGCCGAGGTACAGTAGCCAAGCCCGCAGGCCTAAGCCCCCAGCCAACACCCCGCCCGGATCTTTCACTTCTGACTACGAGAACATGTTCGTGGGCCCACCGGCTGCCAGACACCAGTGGGATGAACACAGGTGAGTGACCCACACACGTGTGTCTGTGAGTCTCTGGAGCCGGATGGCCAGGGTCCAACTCCTGGCTCTGCCTCTTATAGGCTGTGTGATCTTGGGCAAGTAGTTTCCCCTCTCTGGGCCTCAGTTTCTTCCCAGATAAAATGGGGTTAATAACAGCCCTCCGCCTCCCAGAGTTGGCGTAAGAACTAAATGAGTTCCTGGATAGAAGACATGCATCCCCCTGCATGACCTGCACACCCAGTTTCTGGCTGACAAGGTTGCGGAGGGAGGAGGCAGGTGTTCAAGGTGGAGTGGGCTCTGTGGTCGCAGTCAGCGGCCTGGGCTTAGATCTTGTGTGACCCCAGGCTGCCTTTGAACCTCTGTTTCTATCTCTGTAAAATGGGACCACATCCCCATCTCCCCCGACACACGGGAGATGCCAAGAAAGCCGTCTATGTCTCTCTATCCCCACAAAGCCCTGCCTCCCAAATGGGCTAAGCTTAGATAGATGGGTCTGTTTCCAGGTTGGATGAGAGAGGGGATTTCTGGGGGGCAGGCGCAAGGAGGATCAAACCTGGAGGTGGGAGAGAACAGAGACCACTGTGAATGTGTTTTGAGAAGGCAAGACTTCAGGGCTGAGGTTGGAGGGGGCTGGGAGGATCCAAGCAGGAAAGGAAGAGGGTCACGATTGCGTTGGGCAGCAGAATCCAAAAGATGGGGAGGCCTGTGGGAAGTTATTGATGAGAAATGAGAGAATATGCAAAGCAGATACAAATACGGCTCAAAAGCAGAAGTGGTCTGCGGTAGGGAGTAGAAGGCACCAGACTTCCTAAGGCAATGTATGTTCTGATGCCCACCTCTGCCTTGCTGTCCCCAAGATCTCAGGGCCAGGCTCCTCTAAAAATACTGTTTACAATAGAATGTGTCAATCTCATCCTACACTTTACAGTTGCAGAAATAGAGTTTCTGGACACTCCTTGGCAGCCCAGTGGTTAGGACTCTGTGGTTTCACTGCTGAGGGTGCAGGTTCAATTCCTGGTCCAGGAGCTAAGATTCCACAAGCTAGGTGGCACAGCCAAAAAAAAAGAAAGAAAGAAATGGAGGTTCTAGGAGGCAGGAGAATGACTTGCTCAAGGTCAGAATCAGAGACTAGAACAAACCCTGACTTCCATCCCCATACAACCATTTATGTAATTTGGAGTAATTTATACTAAAGTATACATGACTGATAGACACCACTTAGTCAGTGGGGCCTTTGTTCCAGGAGGAGCCAGGGGTGGGGTTAGGATGTTCTGGAGGTGGGAAACTTCTTCTCTGGGGTCTTGCCCACCATAGCAAGATATTCCTAGAAGCTACCTCTTCCCTGATCCATTCAATAGGTGGGGAAACTGAGGCTCAGGGATTTATTTTTGTATCAAGGCCCAAAGTCAGTTGCTTCAGGAGACCTGAGGGGGAAATTTCCCATCTGAAGGGGCACTGATTCAGCTCCAGGCAGCAGGTTCATGTGCCTGGTGTGACCAGAACTTCCAGTTTTTCAAGAGGAAACCAAAAACTAAATTTGAATGTAAAAAATGGGCAACTATCTCAGCTTTAAGGAAGAAAGAAAAAAAAAACCTGCCATGACTCAAGGTCCTTGGACCACAGCGTTGCAATGCTCTCGGACCGCAGCGTTACAATGCTCTCGGACCGCAGCGTTGCAATGCTCTCGGACCGCAGCGTTACAATGCTGAATCCATAGACTCTTCCCTGAACCACTGTCCTCACTTGCTTTCCTCACCGGAAGTTGGGCCAGGCTGGGAGAGCACTGCTTGATGCCTCACTCACCTCATATGTAACTAGGGGTGGACTCAATCACCATGATCTGCTTCACCTCTAAACGCTGATGTGCCTGCTCCCTGAGTCCTGCCTGACCTCCCATCTGTCTTTTCCCCACAGGTCTCCCCCTTCGGAGGGCAGCGACTTCTACATGAGCTACGAGAGCCTCGAGCACGAATCCCAGCCTGTCTATTGCAACCTTCAGTCGCTGGGCCGGGTCCCCTTGGATGACGAGGAATACGTGTTCCCCGGGCGCTGAGCAGCATCGTCACCATCTCAAACTCCAGCCTGGCCCCTTCCAGGTGACGGGGCATTCTTCAGTCCTCCTGTCTGAGGACTGGGACCAGGGGAGGGTCATCCTTGAGGCTCTGAAGCCCCATCCCTAGCCCACTCTGCCCCCCAGGCCACTTGGCTGCTAGAAGAGGAGGAGAGACCCCAACATGGACGGGGACGGGAGAGTCAATGTGTGAACGCTGCTGGCATCCCCTGTCAGTGTGCAAGCATTGCCCAAATAAATTCTACAGGACAGACGAGGCTGCTGGTGAGTGGGCTCCTCAGGGCGGGGATTTCTTGAGCTTCCAAGACAAGAACTCTGAGACTCCTCAATTGCTCCCAAGCCCCAGTCCCTCCCCTCTGTCCCTCTCAGGCCCCTTTCTCGGATGCCTGGTATCCAGTCTTGGGCCCCAAGGCAGCCCACACCAGCCTCAGAAGGGTCTTTATAAGTCAAGAATAGGACTATGCTCCTCCCCTGCTCACATACCCTCTATGGCTCCCCAGTGCCTCCAGATTCTCAGCCTGGTGGTTGAGACCTGCATGGACCCAGCCCTGTCCAACTCACCACCCTCTCCCATTCCTCTGCCCTTCTAATCTGGGCCTCCTCTCCCATCAAGCTCACTTCCCTCCTGAAGCTTTCATTTCCTCACACCACTTACCCATGCCATCTGACGGCCCAGCATGCCATCCCCTTCCACATCTTCTCACGCTTAAGCATCTGTATGCAGGCATAGAACTCTGGCCTGGGCATCAGGAGGCACGGGTCCAATTCCTAACCCCGTCGTGAACTCTCTGGGCTTCAGGTCCCCCACGTGTAAAACAGGGTGATTAGAATTGGTCTCTAAGGTGGTTTTAGCTCTAATATGTTGAGACACCTTACCTCATCCTTCCGGGTCTAGGTGCAGCACCAGTGCCACTCCAAGAAGCCATTCCTGGTTCTTCCTCAGGTAGAGTTCATCACTGCCAGAGCTCAGGGTATTTTGAGAGTTTAAGCTCATGTCTCAGGTGGGTTTCCTATCAGCTGCCCCCAGCCTGGCTTCTGTCAAGCCCTCAAACTACAGGCGACAGAGCTGGACACAGACATCCCCAGTCCTGGGAGGTCAAGCCTGGACCAGAGGGAAAGATGGAGCCAGGACCACCAGACAGAGATGAATGAAGGTGTTTTTAAAAGGCTGTATGTAAGAGGGGAATCTGGAGTGGGTTTTGAAGGATGCATAGGTGTCTGAGGAGAAGAAAGGACAAGGCACAGGGGGCAGGGAGACCAGCTTGGAGGCGTGAAAAGACACATGGGCAGTGGTGTCCAGCCCAGGCAACAGCTGGTGTTTGGGGAAAGACTCAGCATAGCATCTGCTGCCTTTGGGTCATCCTGACATTGAGTTTTATTGAATCACACCACCTGGGAGTGACCCCAAGTGGGAGAGGTGACCTATGAGGGTCTTCAGCTTCCTTGCACCCCTGCATCCCGGTCCTACATGGCTCAAGCCCCCACTCCTGCCCCCAATCATATGTCCCTCTGTTCACTAACACATTGCCTGGGTTGACTCCTTGGCACAGTCCTTGCTGCAAATCAGCCACTTCCTTATGACATTTCTTTTACTCATCTATCTTGTACTCATCTGTCTTCTGCACTTGACCGAGCTGGAATGGAGTGGTTTTGCCTACCTTGTCACTTTATCTTTTCAGGGGCACAGCCAAGGCCTGGCACAAAGGGGGTACTCACTGAATACAGTCAGGGGCACCTACAGTCATTCCAGTCTGCCTCTGGGTGGGGGGATTCACAGGGGACACAGCACTCACTGCTGGAGCTGGAACTGTCTCCTCCAGACCCCTATTCCAGGTACTCAGGGTGAACAGGCAAGCGAGGAGGGGGCTGGACTTGGCACATCTCAGCAATTATTCACGATCCCAAGTAGAAAAGGGTATAACCTGGAAGATGTGATGTGCATGAATGTTCTTCACACCTTTTCTCTCCTTACTCTCTCTTATTTTTTTTGACACTGGCATGAGGCATGAGCCATGCTCAGCTCCCTGACAAGGCGTTGAACCCATGTCCCCTGCAGTGAAAGCATGGAATCTTAATCATTGGACCACCAGGAAAGTTCCTCCATTCTCTTTTTACATGAAAGGATAGAGGCACCATTAACATGAAGGGAGGTGCCACAGACAGCAGAAGGAAGGCGACTCTTCTAGGTGGTGGTAGATTCACACATACTGCACCTGATGGCAGATGGACGTGACTCTGGACTGCCCATGTTTGGAAAGGTGACCCCCATGGGGGGAGAGACCGTGGGATGGTGATCAAGACAGGGCCAGATACCTACAGAGACAGGAGTGCCAAGAGATGAGAAGACATGGAGGGAGACTAAGACCCAAAAGGGTCTCAGAAACAAAAGCAGAGGAACAGGGAGGTAGAGAAACACAGAAACAGTGAGAGGGATGTCCCCGGATACCCGTGGGTCCCATGGATGTCCTGACAGTGAAAAGAAAGTGTCAGCCGCTCAGTCGTGTCTGACGCTTTGCCACCCCACGAAATGTATAGCCCACCAGGCTCGTCTGTCCCTGTCTGCAGGCAAGAATACTGGAGTGTTGGGAGTGTTGACAGAAAACAACAAAATTTTATAAAGCAATTATCCTTCAATTAAAAGATAAATAAAATTTTAAAAACAAATAAAATCACACACACCACAAAGAATACTGGAGTGGGTAGCTATTCCCTTCTCCAGAGGATCTTCCTGACCCACGGATGGAACCCCGCCCCATCCTGAATTGCAAAAAGATTCTTTACCATCTGAGCCACCAGGGAAGCCCATTGACATCATGAGCACCATCCCCTTTCCCGGCATCCCCAAAGAACGTCCTGCCACCCATTCCCTGGGCTGTTTCAATCATCCCATATCAGATCCCCTGGGGGAACTGAGGCCAGCGGGGCTGGGGGTGGGGGTGGGCTCTTCCCAAGGTCACTGGCTCCAGCCTGGACACCACAGAGGGCTGATCAGACAGCTTCACGTTTATTACCAGGGTTTTTCATAAACACACACCCTGTCAGACCACCCCTCCCCAGCCCTCTAGTCCCCAGGCAGAAGACCCCAATAAATTAATAATAAATAGAAATATAAATACATAGGTTTGGGTGGGAGGGGGCAGACAGCAACGGTTATGAATAGGCTATTTCAGGTTCCAGGAGCCCACCAGACAGGCAAGGACAACTGAAGTCTTTCAAATGAGTCCATGCCATAAATGAAGGACCAGGGCCGCTCACACGCAGTGACAGTCCTTGGCCACGAGGTCGTCAAAGGGCGTGAGTGACACGCGGCCGTCGCTGTCTTGGTGCATGAGCACCACCGGCTCGTAGCTGGCAGGCACGCAGCAGGGCGCCGGCGCAGCATCAGGGTTCAGGCCATGCAAGCGCGCCTGCATCTGCGCGTGCGTGTTAGCGGACCGGAAGTGGCTCGGGCACGCGCCGACGCACATGCGCACGTCCAGCTCCCGCGGCGCCAGCACCCAGTCGGCCCAGCCCAGGTCTTCAAGCGACGCGCGCAGGCTCTGCAAATGACAGCAGCGCCCCTCCCCGAGCGGGCAGCTGTCCCGAGTGTGAGCATGCGCGTGACGGCGCCCCCTGGTGGCGCTTGGCCGCCAGTGCAGCTCAAGCTGGGGCGGTGCAGAAGGCAACGCCTCCTGCAACTGGTCCGGGCTTGCTAACAGTTGTAGGCGTATTGCGGGACCCCGGGAGCCTCCGAGTCTCAGCTGTCGCCGTAGTGGCCGCGTCACGTCCCACGAGCTCTGCGCCTTCGGGGACAGCCGGAGAAGGGCCCGATGCAGGCGGGAGGCTGCAGGGAGCCCCTCAGTTAAGTTGACCCGGGGGATGCGCATGTGCAGGTGGCCACCTGGCCCAAGTCGCACTATGGAAAAGAGGAAAGAAAGCTAGTCACTCACGGGCCTACCGTGTGCTGAGCGCGGGGTGGTGGTGGTGTTTGTGCCATTTCCTCCAACACCCCAAGCTGGATCCTACCTCAGGGCCTTTGCACAGGCTACTTTGTCCACCGGCCACATTCTTCCCCTGAATCTCAGCGTGGCTGGTTACATACCACTCCAGCCTGACTGAAATTGGCATCGATTGATTTCATTTGGTTGTCTATCATTTGCCTCCCCCACTAGAATCACAGCAGGGACTCCTGTCTCCTTGGTCACCACTGTGCCTGGCACACAGTAGATGCTTAGTACCCGCGGGAATGAATGTATATCTGATCTTTAGAGAGTCTGCGATTTCAACACTGTCTCTGCCTCCTTTCTGCTGGAGTCCCATGGCAACAAGTGGCATTAAGGTGGGATAAAAGCTCTGGCTTCTGACTCGACGCCTCCCAGTTCCTAAAGCAGACCAGATCTTGCGCCTGCTCCGCCTGCTGGAGGCTCGGTGGAGAGTGTGAATATATTCCACTCCCTAAGACACCAGTCACATGCACCTTTAGCAGAGTCTTGGCGCGCGATTGCATCAGATTCGGAACCAGCCCAAGGAGGTTTAGCGCATCTCAGCGCACCGCTCAGTGCCCCACCCCTCCACCCCGCTTCCCTTCCTTCCGCGGGACACCTGGATCTTTCCCCTGGGAAATCCCCCATACAAACAGCCCTTTCCTTATATCCAAGGGCAGAGACCACACCCCCTCGCCCGAACTTGTCTCTGGGTTCTCCTAGGTTCTTTGAGTCTTCAGTGGAGTCGCTGGATTCCCTGGCCTTAGTTTCCCCATCTGCAACCCCGGGAAGTGTTGTAACATCTCAGATTGGCTAAGCCTCGCCTGGTCCCGCTGCACATCCGGTCTTTTGCTCCCCCAAGGGGCATCTTTCTTGCCTGGTTCAGGGATGGGGAAACTGAGGCTCGGCGGTAGGTCTAAGGACCACCAGTTAGATGACTGGAGCTGCCCAGGGTGGGGTCTCGGAGATTTTACTCACGTTTTGGAGTGACTATCCGGACTTGAGGAGGGGGGATGAGGTCCGAGTTCGGGTCTTCCCAGGTCTGGTTCGCTCGAAGCCGTGTCAGCAGATCTTCGTAGCGTTTCCGCAACTCCCGGAATCTGGAGATGTCCGGGCTGGAGTGCACGTTTGAGGGTCCCTGCAAAGTCTGGAGGTGCTCCTGGGTCAGAGACAGGGCGCCTCCCGACCGGAGCCAGGAGAACATGAGCAGCATCAGCAGCATCGGAGAGCGATGTGGCGCTGCCGGTCGCTGACCAGGCATGGCTATGTTAGTTAAGTTCTAAACTAGGACTGACCGGTCGCTGCTGGACCAGCCTTTATAGTCCCCGGACTTTGTCCGCCCCCGCTTGCCTGGTCCCGCCCGCCGTGGGTGCAAAGTAAACACTGCAGGACCAAAACTGGGCGGGGTCTTCCGCTGCTTTTCAGAAGACGGTGCTTTTGATGGGGGGGGGGGGTGCTCCTAGGTATGCTGGGGAACCCCCCTCAAGAGCCTTCTGAGCCTCAGTATTCTCTACTGTGAAATGAGGTCATCGTCCCACCTGGGCTGGTAGGAACAGTAATTTTCTCAAAAAAGATTTATTACTTACTATGTGCTAAACCCCATAGCAGGGATTTAAGAGGTGGCTTTCTTCTCTGATGAGATTCCCCCTCTCCTCTCTGCTCAGGTCAAAGGCTGAAGATAGTGAAAAACAAAGAAAAAAAGAGGGAAAAAAGGGCCAGAAATAGCCAGAAGGTGCAAACTGGGGCAAATCATTCCTATCCATCCCACCTCTATTCCTTCACCTGGAAAATAAAGATTGAGACTTTCCCTTGAGAGAAGGTCAAAAAAGGTGTAAAGGACAGGGCCAGGCACAGAACAGGTGCTTGATAAACTGGGTGTTTTTGCAGTTACTCATCCTCAGCTGGGGAACTCCTATCCATTCCTCAAAACCCTACTCAAAAATCCCCTCCTCCAGGAAGTCTTCTCTGACATTACTTTTCCAGGCTCAGCAGGATGCTCCCTTCCTCCAGCCCAGCCCTGATCCCGCAGTACTGGGAGTGCGTGTACTTGGCCCTGTCTGCTCCAGACTGGCAGCTTCTTGAAGGCTTGGACAGGGACAATGGATCTGGGCCCTGATCCTTTGGCTGGGCCTGAAGAGGAGATGGCAGGGAATTAGGGTAGTGAGGCTTAGGGCAGGGAGGGCTGGTGTCGAGTCTAGCCACTAGATAATGGAAGGGCAGCAGGTACTCTAGGAATACCCTTCCTCCTGGGCCACCCAGACCTTGTTCTACTGCTTGGGACTCCTGGCCCCAGGCATCCTTCCCTGTGCCCGCTCCCAGCTTCCTGGCCTCAGAGAGGGTGGGCAGCTGTTCAAAGCAGACCATGGGGGTATGTAAAGTGTGAAAAGGATACGTGCAGGGAAAGGGCTCAAGGACTTATTAGGGGTCGCACAGTAAGGATCCCCGTGAAAGAATGGAGTCCAAGTTTCTCCCACACCGGAACACACCCACTTGCTGGGTGAGCCCAGCTATGCCTCCGGTACCCCCTGAGGCTCAGTCCCAGCCTCTATGCAGGGGTTCAGAAGATCCCCTGGCAATGCGCTGGGCTTAATAAACACACAAGTAAATGCGCTACCATCCTGACTGTGGCTGTTTGGGAGGCTGGGTCTTCTGCACCCACATCTTGGCACATAGAGTAAGTGTGTGCTCAGGAAAGGGTGCAGGACTGAAGAGACAGGGATGCCCCACAGCCTCCCCACTATACCCTCCTCCCGACCCCACCCCCTGCAGAGGCCAAACCCTGGAAGCAAGGCAGAACGCTGAGTAATGCTTAACACGGCAGGGGCTATTCAGCCAGGGTCATCATGCCCAGGCTTGACTAGGGATGGCGGGGGCAGAGGGGGCGCTGTCTGGGATGGCATCACTGCAAGGTAAATAATGGTGAGAAGCCAACATTTACTGGACTCCAGCCTGTGGGCACAGTTCACACGCAGTCCTGTTAATGGATAAAGGAACAAAGCCTCGGGGGACTGGTGTGTGTATAGGGCTGAAAGGTTGGACTCCACAATGGGCTTGGATTCATCCAGCCTTTGGCTGAGCCATCTGTTACCTGGCATTTCTAGGCTCGTGAGGGGATTCTGAGACTCCTCCACTTGTGACTGGTTTTCCTCCTAGTTTAAAAGCCTTGTGAAGAGTTTGCCCTGATCCTTGATCCAACAATCTGGACGGCTCTTGGCTTCAGAGAGGTGAGTCTGGGTTCACGTTCCCTTCCCTCTTCTCCCTGACTGTGACACGTGCAACAATGGATTTCAACCTCAGTTTCCCCATCGGTAAAAGGTGTAAGAGCACCCCCCCACACACACACACAGGGTCGTATGTGAGTGGGAATTTTGCACACACTGGGTATCACTCTGCATGTGTGCATGCTTAGTCGCTCAGTCGTGGCCAACTCTTTGCCCCGCCATGGACTGTAGCCCGCTAGGCTCCTCTGTCCATGGAATTTTCCAGTCAGGAATACTGGAGTGGGTTGCCATTTCCTCCTCCAGGGGCTCTTCCCTACCTAGGGATTGAACCCACGTCCCCTGCATCGCAGGCAGATTCTTTACTGCTGAGTCTTCAGCGAACGCAGGGATCAGCATGGCCAGGATTCAAATCTTAGCACCTACCACCCACCCCCCACCCCCGCCTTGCTGTGTGACCATAGGCAAGTTACTCAGCCTCTCTGTGCATCAGAACCAAGGCAGTGTGTTGGTTGTAGGACAGAGGACAATCGTTATAGAAATCCTCGTATAGTTTTTACCCAGGGCACCCATAGCAGCTGCTGCAGACCTACTCTCAGGTCACACACCAAGATAGAAACCCTGGTGATGTGGGGGCCCCCCTTCCCACTAATGACCCCAGGCTGAGGATGACCTTTGTGGACGCAAGCTTCTCAAAAAGACATGCCAGAAAGCTGATATTTCAATGCTTTACTTGCTTTCTGGGGCATCAAGTTTAGTGTCTCCCGGGGTCCAGCCCCCAGCAAAGTCTGGCAGACCCTTGCCCACCCCGGGGTCCCAGACACGGGGCTTTCAGACAAGGCACTCAAGGGGTCTCCCTGGGGTCGGGGAGAAGCCACCCCAAGCCTGCAGGGGCTGGTCTCTCCTTTGGGGACAGGACACAGGGTCACCTCCAGGAGGCAGGGCTCTTCCTGGAGAGAGATTCAGGATAAGATAGAAACCTGAAATGTGGAGGGAGCCCTGGAAACACGCCAGGTACCCCCAAGGGCCAGAGGGATCTCCTGTGGCCTCCAGCCAGGCCTTGCGGGCAGAGAGGCCAATTCCCCACCAGCTTTCTCTGGGGCTTCCTCAAAGGGTGCAGGACCCAAAAGCCCCTGGCCCAGGTCCCACCCCTGTGAACAGCTTGGGTGAGCCCCACCCAGGGGAGCGGGGAGCCAGGGTCTGGGGGTGTTTCTCTCTTTCCTGTCTGTGCCCCATGTGTACTGCGGGGGCAGACACTTCTGTGGGTCTCTGGGCAGCTGAAGGGGAGGAGGCTTGGGTGAGGAGAGGGAGGAGGGGGAACGGATTTCAAGTCGGGGGAGCAGCTCAGGCTGGACTGGAGCCCCTGGAGGTCTGGGAGCTCCTGAAACTCAGTTACAACCACTGAGCCTCAGCTTCCTCATCAGTAAAAGATGTCAGTTCATGTCACCCCTGACTGGGCTGTGGGCGCTCTCACAGGGACTAAGTCATGGGACAGGGTCTGTTGGGACGTTTACTTGGCATCTGTTAGAATTAAATGTCAGGAATTCTCTAGCGGTCCAGTGGTTAGGACTCTGCGCCTTCCAATGCCCGGGGCACAGGTTTGATCCCTGGTTGGGGAGCTAAGATCCCACAAGCCTTGAGCCAAAAAAAATAAAAGAATTAAGCTTCAAGGCGTGGACCCTGGCCGGTATCTCCTCACTTTAAATGCTGCCATTCTGACCTGCGGGCCTAGCATGGACTCAGACTCTTGGTTGGCATCATGGCTGTGGTCAGACACGGGGCGGACAGGAATCCCAGTGGGTGACAGGTAGCCTGTCTGGAAGATCCAGCGCCTCAGGGGCCTGGATGCAGCCTCTGGGTGGGCAATGAGCGACTCCCACCTGGCGCTGTAGGGACCCTCAGATTCCTGTTGCGGGAAGGCGGAGCCCTTCCGGGGCCCGAAACTGGGCTCTTGTCTAACACTCGGAAATGAACTGTCCGAGGAGACACATGTGCTGACAAAGCAAGAGATTTTATTGGGAAGGGGCACCCGGGCGGAGATCAGGAGGGTCAGGGAGCCCAGGAGAGCTGCTCTGCCACGTGGCCTGCAGTCTCGGGATTTATGGTGCTGGGATTAGTTTCCGGGTTGTCTTTAGCCGATCATTCTGACTCAGAGTCCTTCCTGGCGGCGCACGCATCACTCAGCCAAGATGGATGCCAGCGAGAAGGACTCTGGGAGGTGGTCGGGCACATGGTGTCTCCTTCTGACCTTTCCTGAACTCTTCCGGTTGGCGGTGGCTTATTAGTTCCGTGCTCCTTATCAGGCCCTCCTGTCGAAAAACAACTCCTACAAATGGTTCCTAGGGTGCCTGGCCAGGGCAGGCAGTTTCAGTCCGTGTGCTAGAGCACTCCTGGTAGAGTTGCTGACACTGCAGACAGAGGAAGCAGGGTCCAGGGAAAGTGGCATTTCTCACGGGCAAGGGGGATGCTGGGCCGGAAGTTCCCTGGGCAGAGAGACGCAAGCACACAGCAGACTCACGGGTCTATTGTGTGTCCATTTCCTCCAGCATCCCAAGCTGGATCCTACCTCAGGGCCTTTGCACAAGCTACTTCCTCTACCAGCTACACTCTTCCCCTGAACCTAAGCATGGCTGCTTACATGTCCCTCCAACCTTCCTAAAATAGACACAACCCTATTTTACCTGATTGTCCATCATTTGCCTCCCCCACCAGAGTCACAGCAGGGGTTTCTGTCTGCTTGATTGCCACTGTGCCTGGCACACAGTAGGTGCTTAGTTAATACTTGCAGGAATATTGAATGTGTGTCTGATCTTTAGACAGAGAGATTCCAACACTGGCTGTGCCTCCTCCTGGTAGCCAGAATAATTTTTACTGAAGATCTACTAAGTGCCTGGGGTTGAAGATGCAGCAACCAGCTACTGCGCTTTCAGCTCTCTGGGTCTCAGATTCCATAGCTGAGAAATGCAGGGTACCAGACCACACACCTTGGCTTCCCAGGCGGCGCTAGTGGTAAAGAACGTGACTGCCAATCCAGGAGGCATAAG